GGACAGAGGCTTTTTGATCACTGAAGAGGTCGAAGCTGCAGGGGCTAACCTGAACATTCCACCTTTCCTTGGGGGAAGGCTACAGCTCTCCCTGGAGGACGAAGCGAAAACTAGGGCGATTGCGAAGGTCCGGATCCACGTGGAACGAGTGATTGGACAAATGAAGTGTTTTCGAATCTTGAGGGGTACTTTCCCAAACAGTATGAGCAAGAGCCTGGACTCTATCTGGAAGGTCTGTGCTTTGCTGTGCAATTTCACGAGAGAGCCACTGCTCAGTCGAAGCTAGAGCTGCAGTCTTGTGGCTTCGTAGATGGTCGTGGAGAAAAAAGAGGCCATATCTCTCTATCTAGCTCACTTCAGCTCCGGCAACTTTTTGTGCCCACACGCCCTCATGACCCATGACGACCATTAGCACCGACTACGGCCCTCGGGACTTTCCTCTACCCAACGAAATGGACTCACAACCCACCGAGGCCACGCTGGCTTCTCCCGCTGTCTGAAGCTTACCGCTCAATGCACCACCCACAGCCGGTGCAACCACTCCTGCCGTCACGTCGCTTCTTGATGCACCACTTGTTGCCGCGTGAATTCAACCTGCGGTCTTTACTCAGAATCCATTCTCCATCCTCGGCGACGATGATCCCGAAAGCAAGTTGTCGCCCCTCAACAACAGTTGCCACATCCGCACTGCCGCCAATGAAACGAAGCGTGCTCGTGGCATTTTTTTCTTCGGCGCCGCTGCGACTAAGCTTACCACCTCACCCCGGTGCATCCAACGTGACTCGAACCCTGACTCGTTCCCCCTGGAGGACGGATGGCATCCTGTCTCTCGCCGACGTAAGGCGGCCCCGCCCGCGGCGCCTCCAGCAGCATCGTTCTGCAGTGAGTTCTCCCACACTGTCATTCTACGGCCGGCCAAACCATGCCGCATCATGGACGGGGTCTTTCTTGCCATTGACTCTGCAGTTGCTGCACAGATAGACCTCAGGTCTCCTACACCATTGCAGCCCCCTACCAAGTGAGGTACCTCGACTGCAGTAATCAACTTGCAGTTGATGCTGCTTTGTCTCAAGTGTGCGATGCATTCCTCAATGTAACATACATCCCGATCGGCACTCTGCAGGTCTCCGTGCAAGGCTACGAGGCCATTCGCCGTGGCCAGGTTCGCGGATTCATAAAAAAAGTCTGGCGACCTGGATTCTGCGTCCTAAAAAACCTTCATTGCCGGAAATCTGCTATCCTCCAGGCCGGTCCTCTCACAAACTCTGGGTCGGCACTCATTACATTCGACGGCACCAGCCTCGCGTTGCCCAGTGCCCCAACAGCACCCAAGCCAACGGCACAACACAGCGTCGTCAGTTGCCTTCATCAACATCCAAAGAGAAGCCGGCGTCACCACCAGTGACGCCTGAAACTAGCTCCTGCTCAGCAAGCTGTGCTGTTATCTGCGCCCAAAGCCCTCATCGCAGCACCGAGGTCTGCGAAGCAGAAGACTGACTCCCGCCCGGTGCTCGCCACAAAACTCCTAACGCCGGCACACAACATCACCGCCGACCTCACACAAGTCCCAACATCAGAACCGCCTCGGACCACCTTCGCAGAATCAGCGAGAGCTGTCAACAGCACTAGTGAGACGCCTGCCCTACTTCCGTCAGGGTCAGACTTTACTGGCTTGCAACAACAAATCACCCTTTTCACAAAACAAATGCTGGCAGCCACGCAGCGAATTCCGACGATGCAAAACTCGCTGTTTACTCTCGTGGATACCTGCACCCGTGCAGTAATCGGGCGCCTCGCGATGCAGGGCATCATTCCGTTCGGCGGCCCCCCACTATCACCACGCAAACATGGTTAGCGCCCCCAGGATTGTTCAGTGGAACTGTTGCTCGCTTAAACAGAAGAAGGCAGACTTCATCGAAAAATTTTATCTTCACTCGTCATCCGACATGGCCGCTGCGTTTGCTCTACAAGAAATCAACGGCCCCCTCCCTTCTTTGCCACAGTACGATGGACTTGCTCCGAACATTGAGACTAGTGCCCCCTTGCCTTGGATTCGTTCCGCCCTGTACGTTCATCGATCAGTGTGCTTCACTCTTCTCGACACCTCACAGAGGTGCTCTGCAATGACCAGCGTTACGGGTTGCCGCCAATTCCTCAACGGCCCGTTTTTCTCTTCTCTGTCTATGTGGCTCCAGACACATCGCTAAACCGCTGGACAAGGCAGCCGCTAAACATCCCTTTTTTTAAGCACTTCGCCCGTCTTTATCCAAAAGACGACGTTCCCGTTTGCGGTGATCTTAATGCCAAACACACGCATGGGGCTACGACATTGACCTTCCCCACGGCACGCGGCTTCTTGCAGACCTCACAGGGCTGAAACTTTCGTTCCTCAACATCCCAGACACCCCCACACGTATCAAACAATCCTCCCAACAGCAGGACACCTGCCCCGACTTTACCTGTGCTCGTTACCCTCGACGCTGGAGATGGCATGTCGCCGGCGACCGCCTCGGCGGTGATCACCTCCCCATTATTTTACGCTACGACTTCCTATCCGCAACCCTATCTCACTGTCGCGCCTGCTGCGACACATTCTTCACTAAGTGGGACAACTTCCGAGCAGCTCTTTCTTCTGTCATGGAACTTGCTGGCTTTTCCGACATTATACAAGCTATCCAGTCCGCCCACAAGTCTGCCACAAAGCGGCTAACCGTACCGGACGATGCCGCTTTGACGAGCATTTACTTACTGGACCGCCGCATTCACCTGTTGGCCTGTTACCGCCGTTCTCGCAGACCACGACGACTCCTCAAACCTTCACATAAACTCCAAAAGACTATCTCGTGCTACACTTCGGAACTCGCTTCCAACTGCTGGACTTCCCTGTGCAGATCCATCTCCGGCAATAGCCATCTTTCGAAAGTTTGAAGGCTCCTCCGTTCTCTCCTCGGGGACCACAAACCTAGGCAATTTGCTGCCACTGTTGCCCTTCGCAAAGGTGTCTCTCCCGAGGAGCTAGCTGAACGGGCCTCGGACGTCTTTTTTCCGCAACCAGCGCAACATGACTCTGGATGCTACACTTGTGTTCACCCTGTCACCAAGCTCTTGGGATGGATTGCCCGTTCACCCTCCA